ACTCTTTCCTACCGGACTTAAATGAAAGCCCATATGAAGTTAGAGCTGCAGGGAACCACACTGCCACCAAGAGGGGGACCTTGCTGAGAATGGCACTCTCCCAGGAGAATGGGGCCAGAAATAGGGAGATAGAAACCCGATCTTGGTGGCAATATTTGAGCCCCTGAATCAAGCCATGCTTGAAGTTGGATTTAACTCCCGGACAGTCGAGTCAGATAAACCAATGAATGACCTTTGTCTTTAAGCGTGGCTGGGCTGCGGTTTCTGTTATGTGCAGCTAAGACTCCCTACCTGGGCTCCTGGCCCCAGCTCTGAGCCTCTCAGGATCTGTGAATGTCCTAAGGCCCCCGGTGCTCGCAAGACTTGCGAGGCTGAGGCTGTCCACCTCCCACTCACCTGGGTGGCCTGCAAGGCACTGACCAGACCAGGATGTGGGGGCTGTTTCCTGGCATCAATCACGACCGCCAGTCCCTTGGTTTTATCTTCAGGCCTGTGGGTGGTAAACAGAATTGGCAGTCTTGCTGGATGAACTAGGGCCCTCGAGGGGGAAGGACCTAGTGGAAGGTGAGGGAAACTGGCTGCTAGAAGCCCGGATTTACTGGTGAACTCTTCATCCCATGGGACAAAGTTCCAGTGCCTCCCTGTGCCCCTGATACACACCACTTCCAGGAAGCCCTCCATGATTCTTCTCCAGGCAGAGTCCGTTATTCCCTCTTCGGTGCTCCCACAGTACCTCACACAGCTCTCTCTTACACCCTAATAATCATGAACTATAAGCTACTATCCCAGTTGCAGTAGGAGTCCCCTAACCTTCATCCACCCCTTTTGTGTGTGCAGAAGGTTCACTTTGTTCAAGAATCCAATTCCCTCCATGTAATCACGTCCCCGCTCTGCCAGGGGCTGGTTTATGATTGGTTGAGGCCCACAGTAGACCCAATTCCCCTGGCCAATGATTGGTTTAGATAGGGAACATGTGACATTTTCTGGCCAATGAGATGTGAGGGGATGTTTGCCGGGGGCTTTTGGGAAAGATATCCTCTCCTTTAAAAAGTTCTTACAAAGAGATATAAGGCAGAGACATAGTCTGATACATTTCCTTAGCAGGTAAGACATTTTGAATTGGAATTTGTTACTTGCAGCCAAAACACCCTCATGGGTTCACAGTGCACTTTTCAGTGATTACCTTAGGATTTTCCAAAGTGGCCCAATTGCAGGACTTGTTAAAATACTAATTCCTTACCCCCACCCCTGCTCCACCCCCCAAGAAATCTGTCCAGCAGGCTGGGGATGGAGCCAGGGAGTCTATGCTTCCAAGTGCCCTGACCATTCAGCCAAGTTGGGAAAATAACCCCCAACCGCCTTCAAGCCTTACAACCACCCAGTTCACAGACGAAACCAGAGGTGGCCAGTGGTGGGGTGGAGCTATGGCAGTCACCTGGGCACGCTGCTTCACCTGTCTGGGAGGATAATAATCGTGCGGGCTTCGGAGGCTGTGCTGAGGACTGATGGATTCATTACTCTAAAGTACTCAGGGACTGCGCAGAGTAACAGGCATGTCAATGTCTGCTGTCATCACTGTCCTGGGGGGGGAAACTGAGGTACACGGCGGTGCCATAGCAGACAGTGAGGGGAGGCTCTCGGAGGTGAGGCCAGGGCTCTGACTTTGTGCCCCACACCTCACCTGCCTCTCGCTATGCCCATGCTGGGAGAGAGGTTTATTTCTCCACCTACCTCCACTACCAGCCTGGATGCCCCTAGAGGTCAGGGCCCAATATAGGAGTATCTGGGTCCCTAGCATGGCCCAGCATGAAGTCTGGCCCAGGGCAGGTGCCCAGCAATGGAGTGGAGAAGCCAGCCCAGCATACGAGAACCCCATGCATAGTTCACACTGCACCTCACCCCCACCTCTTGTGACCATGCTTGGTCCTCAGAGCCCACTTAGTCATCCCCCTTTTTCAGGGAAGCCTCAGACAGGGGAGGTTACCGCCTACAGGTAACACAGCAAGTTGGTGGGATTCCAGCATTCTGTCTACTATGACACTTAGCACAGAATGGGGGTTTCCATCTCCTCCTCAGACCAGAAAAGCCACTCCACTTTGGACAAGAAGAAAAATCTCAGTGGCCAGCAGATGGTGGTGATGGCTCCTGTGGGGTGGAGAAGGTTCCAAAGGGTTCCATCAGTCCCTCCACCCCCTACCCCAGCAGCAGAACCTCTAGGTTGGGATCTATAGCCACAGTCCCAAGCAAACACCACCTCTGAGACCGCTCTGGCTGGGGGCTGGGACTCAGAGGAAAGATGGTGCCTCTTCCCCAGCCAGTCCAACATGAAGTCTGAATGAGGGGGTGGAGGGAAGGGGAGGTGTTAGAAATCAGACTGGTCACTCATCACTCATTCATTCTTTTACTCTCTCACTTATTCATTCATTCATCCATTCACCTTTTCCTTCATTTGTTCAAAAAATATTTATAATTCATATGCCAGGTCAATTATCACCTCCTCAGAGAAGCCTTCCCTGATTTCTCAATTGAAATTAGCTGCCCCCCACCCCCTTCACTCTGCAACAGTGGCTCTCAAAATGTGTCCCCAGCCCAGCAGCAACAGCATCACCGGGAAACTTGTTAGAAATACACGTTCTCAGTCCTTATCCAGACTTAGTGAATCAGAAACTCTGGGGGTAGGGCCCAGCCATCTATTTTTACAGACCTCTGGATGATTCTGATACCTGTTGAGTTTGAGAACCACTGATCTACAACATCCCTGTTTTCTTCACCACATTTACACCCCTGAGAACTGCTTGTCCATGTCTGTTTCTTGCACACCATCCACCTCCCCCGCCAGCCTGTGAACACCCTGATGGCAGGGACCAAGTCTGTCCTGCTTTCCCCCCAGCATCTGGCTCAGGACCAGCTCTGGAAACAGATGACTGGATGGAAGGATCTCTCCATCTGCTACCTGGTGCTGGGCTCTGGACTGAGAGGTCAAGGGGGGATGGGGTGGTCAGGCTAGCCCAGCCCCTTACCTGGGGATGGTGCACAGGTAGGAGAACAGCTTGGTGACCTCTGAGGCCGTGCACCATGGTGCCTCCCAGGGCCCTTTGGTGGTTGACACCAGAAGCAGGGGCCGCCCTGCCCTGTCTCGACCTCCTACAGGAGAAAGCACAAACATTGAGAATTTTGGTGGAGCCCCCTTTACGGGAACCTGCTCTGTGGCCTCCAAGCCTTTGCCTGTACTGGTCCCTCTGCCTGGAATACCCTTTCTCTCCTCCCCCTGTGAACTCTGAACTCTTATTCATCCCTCAAGACCCAGCTCAAAAGCCACTTCCTCAGAAAAGTCATCCCTGAAACACTCCTCCATGCAGAGGCAGCCTCACCCTCCTCTGGTCACCCTCTGCACTGGGCAACCTGGGAAACGAAGCTCACGGAATGAGCTTTGGGGTCACACAGACATGGGTTTAAGTCCCAGCTTAAACCCATGTTTAAGGGACACACTGACTTGCTGTGTGTCCTTAGGCAAGTCAGTGTGTCTCTGAGTCTCAGTTTAGTCATCTGTTAAGTGGGGAGAATACAATACTGAACTTATGAAGGTATTTTGAAGACTAAATGAAACAGTTCCTGAGAAGCGCTTGACACAGGGCAAGGGCCTAATAAAAAGCAGTCGTTATAACAATCATCATTTCTGCCCTCATCTCAGCCCCCCGTGTGGTGAGTGTGCAGCCCATGGCTGCCAGCTCACTATTTATTCTTGCTGACTTCCAGCCATGAGTTCTCCACCGACTATTTCCTGTTCCAGGAATCAGGACAGGGTGCTCCGTGTTCCCCACAGGGGTCAAGAGTCTGAGTCCCAGGGGGTCAGCACAGCCTGTCTACGCTGCGGGGAAGGGGAAGTACCGGGGGAAAGAG